TCGCCCCCTACAGGACGCAGGATCTGAGTGCGAGCTGCCTGAACCCAGGCTGCCCAGTCCGGTGAAGACTGAGGACATGTCCTCTGTCCCCCAGCTGAACCACAACAACAGCATCAACCTGGTGGTGCAGTGTAGACTCCAGCTGCCCACGTCCCGACAGGTGAAGGTGACGCTGAGAGGAAAACTGCAGCTCCACGCTCTGCTCGCTGTAAGTCACAAAAATATTTACATCAATCAAAAAAAAGTATGTTTTTTTAATCTGTTCATTTGAACATCTGGACCAACTTGCTTCAGGTCAACTTCCGGTCTGTGGAGATCCTGACCACTGCCTCCATCCAGCTGGAGGAGTCCAGTCCCATGTTCCTCCAGGAAGACACACCTGTCAGACAGGTACTCCTCCACTGCTGCCCCCTCTGGTCACTGATGGAGGCAGCAGAGTATCAACCAACACAAATAAAACATCTGTAACACTTCAACGGCTGGAACCTTTCTGCCATCTAGTGGTTAAAATAGTGAACAACGTGACCCTGAAGTTTCATTAACAAAACAAAAACATGTCTGCAGATCATCCTGGAGCTGAGGAAGGAGGAGGAGCACAGCGTCCCCTTCTGGATAATAGTGGGAAGTTCACTGGGAGGTCTGCTGCTGCTGGCTTTACTGGTGCTGGCTCTGTGGAAGGTACTGTGTACACGCACACACACACACACACACACACACACACACACACAGAGCCTTACCCTCTACTATTGTTTCTCCTCAGCTCGGCTTCTTTGACAGACAACGGACTTACCCTCTACTGTTGTTTCTCCACAGCTCGGCTTCTTTGACAGACAACGGAGACAGGAAGAGGAGGAACAGCCTGTAACCAATGGGAAAGCAACGGAGGACGAGCTATGATGTGTTGGAGATCGTCACTGCGAGCCACGGCCTGTTACTCAGGGACACACACAGTGAGGATGACGTCACTGAATTGATTAGACTGAAACTACCTAAGATCAAGACTGAGACTAAGACTAAGACTGAGACTAAAATCAAAGCTAAGACTGAGACTAAGATCACATTAAAGACTAAGACTGTTGACTTTCACGTCAAGCCTATAGAGCTTCAGTAACCCATGGTACTAAGGGGACTTGTTTGGATGCACTTTCTTTGTATAAAGTGAACTTGATGTAAATACATTTAACTTTGATTTTTTTAAGGATCAATGAATTTTTTTATTAGAGCTGTGGACTTTTGTTACTTTTGTATAAAGAATAAAGAAAACACTAAGTCAAGCTGCTGTGGTGGTTTGTACTTGAACCAGCATAAACAACAGCACCCCCTACCTGACAGAAATGACTCAGTCTAGATTTGGAACAACCAGAAACTCTTCCTTTACTGTTGCACTTCAACACATGCGTTCAAATCTTGTAAAATCTCTATACAGCACCCCCTGCTGGACCACTCCACAGCGACACAGCAGGAAAAGAGACATTCACAGACTGGGATAGTTTTCTTTCTTTAAAAAGATTTTTTTTTCATAATCTTCAGTATTAAAATAATTCTGCAGGAAGGAAGTCATTCTTAAAACAGTGACACAGGTTCAGACAGTGAGGCCAAACATCAGGTCCTGACCACAAGACACTGCACCTCAGTGGGTATAAATAAGGATGGACACACTGAACCCGAAAACAAATCAATGATTTTAAAAAAAATAAAATCACAGAAACATCACAGATAAATTAACCACAGGCTGCGGTTTGAATCCAAACATTTCCCTCTCAGGGACAGTTCTGTCTGTTAAGGCATGTTTCCACATGAGGAGAAAGTACCAGGGACTATGTGCGTTTCCTCTGCATTGATAAGGACTAAAACAGTACCAGGACCGATCGGGTGGACGATTTTGACATTTTCATGCATTTTTGGCAATTAATAAAAACAAAAACATTTGCATAATTTTGTTATGGAAAGACAAGATCAATTCGGTTCCTTTAAAATGGTTCACATAACCTAAAGTTCTGGTTGTATGAACTCAGAACAGTTTAAGGACCAGACTGAGACCCACACACTTTAAAAAATAAATAATTTCATAGAGAAAATCAGTGATTTTAGCTCAGACCAAAGACCGATAGTGAAAAAAAAAGTTTTTTAAAAATCATCTCAGACAAATCTCTTATTAGGAAGCTGGAAGTATTTCTGGAGCCTTGGGACTAGGAACTTTCTATTTCTTTTAAAGGCGCTAAATTTGTGTTCACTCTTTTGGCCTCAGACTCTGACTTCAATGAAAAAAGAAAGAAAAATATATAAAGACATTTTCACCAACCAACCCTCAGCAATAACAGAATAAAAATCAACTAAAACCTGGTTAAAATCCATTCAGAGGCAGATTCTGTTAAATATTCATTCATGTTCATATTAACAATAAAAACGGAGCAGTGGAGACGTCACGGGACGCTCTGTCCAATCACCTCCACCACCTTCCTGGCCACGTGTTGGACGTAAGGCAGAATAAAAAGAACCAGCAGTTCACACCTGGTGTTGGTGTTAATTCATAGTTAAGGACAAAGAGCTTCTCTCTTCACATTGATTAAAAAAAAACCATTTCAGGCGCAAGTGTCTTTTTCTCAGCACCGAGTGGGTTGGTTAGAAAAGAGTTTAAAAAGATCCTGAGGTTCCTCTGAGGTCCATGGTCAGTGGAACCACACACTCCTCCTGGATGTTCTGCACCACCAGGACCTTGATGGACCAGAGTGGAGAAGCTGTTCACTTCAATGGAACTCTACAAACTCCTCCAGGGTTTTGGGAATCTGGTTGCGATACATGATCTGGTGCTGCCGCACAGCTCGCGCTGCCAGGCATTTGAGGCTCATCTTCATCTGCGTCTT